AGTCTGGGCAGGAGGCATTGCCAGCACATGATCCCTAGGCAAGATCTTCACCTCTTCTCGGCCTAAGAATGCAAGGTGTCAAAGACACGTGAATCCCCTGATGCTCGCTCCAGGCTTGGCAGGACCACGGGGCCACCACAAAGCCTTGTGCCTCCATTTTCTGGCATGTGGGGAAAACAAAAAAAAAAAATAACAATAGCAGTTACACCCACTGCTATATGCGCTGCTGAGGATGGGGTGGAGAGGTGGGCAGTGACTTTTTTGTGGGAACTGATTAATTAAGAACTGTGTTTTACCTTTGTCAGCTATACTGAAGAGATGACGTTTTGCTATTTTCAGTCCTTCCCCTAACCTGATAATTTAGGTCGTGCTAAGCCAGACCATGGGTAGATCATTTTGCCACAGAGCTGCGCAAGGTAATTGCATTGCATTTGCTTGCGGTTTGGATACCACTGATTTGGGTCACTGCCAGAGTATCTAACCAGCATCTCAGCTGGGTTTTGCAATTTCTTAGCTTCAAATCATCCAAACTCCATCATTATCCATAACCAAGCCACAGAGTTAAGCGCTGGCTTGGAGAAGAACCCTAGAACAGTGGTTCCTGTGCTAAGGTAGGGTCTTTCACTGGTGTGGAAAGCTGCCTGGAGCTGAGTCTGCTGATGAGCATGCATTTGTGATGGACCCAGCACAGTGGGATGGTGGAGATCACTCAGCCTGGACATTTACTGTATTCTAAGTACACCACTTCCTAAAATACTCGATCAAACGAGCTGGGTGGTTATCCTTCTTCTGACAACTCATACATAGAGAAACTCTCCTCCCCTCCCAACGTCAGTTGGCAAACAGCGTTGACAGCCTCCAAAGTCAATTAACTACATCACAAGGACAGGGCTGGGCAGTGTTTCCCCCACCCCCATTGACCTGCTTTTCTTCGTATCTGACCCATGTTTTCTAACTGAGGCTGCCTGCTACTTACCAAACTGCCCAGTTCATGGTCTCCTCGACGTACCCAGGGGCCTCTAGACGAGCATATAGAGATTCTTTTAAGGCTCTGAAGTCAACAGCTGGCATCTACTGGTGTCAGCAGTCCCACTTTACTGGTACAGAGGAGCTCTCTAACCCTGTGAAAATCTAGTCTAAACAGGAGGCAGAGCTGTCTCTGGAGTCATAGTAAGGCTGCTACAACATACCCCGATCTCACCACTTCGCTTTCCAAGTAGAAGGTGCACTTCTGCAACATACACCTCAAATGCAAACAGCTGGGAGCACATTATGAACAAGCCCTAAAACAAGCCAGCTAACCCAAAGTGAAATCCTCCACAACACATGCACTTCTCTCCCTGCGGAGAGGATGAGAAAAAGACAAAGAACCACATGCGGCAGATCTGAGTCAGGGCTCTGAATACTCCACCGGAAAATGCTCAGACACCATAACGATGAAGGCAATCTAGGAAACTAGACGGAATAGACTGGTTTTCTGTTCTCTTTTTCTCTTTCCTCCCCTCTACTTAACACGGCCCATGTTTTTTCTCACTGTGTTTAACTTTATTTCTTTGTCCAGGAATGCACGTATTGCCACATTAAATAAAGGGTTAGATTATGCACTCAGGTACGCTAGTACAAGCACAGAAAAATTTCAAACTTCAGTGCCACCCAAGCCAATGTGAAACTGTCTTTGACTGTCATGGGACCAGAATCCATCCCTGCTGAGGAATTCTCATAGTTACACAGAGGGCACCTGGCCCACTGGGCTAATTTCCTCTCTTACAGACCTAACTTCATGAGGTTGAAACCAGAAGTTCCCGTGTTTCACCATAGGGGAGATTTTAAAGCTAGGAAGAAGATGTTGTACAGAACAGCCTGATTCTGAGCATTTTCTTTTCATCCTGTTTCCTGGTGCTGCAGCAGATCGATGTTAAGGAGGCCGCCAACAGCCCTTGGCATTTCCATGACTGCGCCATTCAGAGCTGTGAGGGACAGTTTCAAATGCTCCGAGCGGCTCTCTCAAGCTACTGGAATGTCAGTATGTGAACGACACATGCAAGGGACAGGCGTTGAATACCATGACCCAGGTACACCTATTCCCTGGGGATCAAATCACAGAAGAGGAGTGCAACAGGGGCTGCCCTTCATCACTGAACTGCGCTGGGGAACATGCTGTTCAATAGCCTGCTCTGGCTGCAGGGCAACGCTACTGCCTTGACCCCATACTGGGTGCAGCTGGTGGACAGATCGGAGATCAGACCTCCAGCTGGGGCCAGCACATGGCGTCGCGGAGCAGATGGGTACTGATAGAAACTGAAATCTTCAGTGGTTTGTGTCAACGTGCTGTCTGTGAATGGCAGTGGCTGAGGAGAGATGAACTACATCTGGCTCGATCATTTCTGCTGCAGAGGTGAGGAAGTTTGGTGGGTGCAGTAAGTGAAGAGAGACAGCTGAGGTGTTACCATGTCAGAGGGCCCTGCTGGATCACAAGTCAACACCTGCATCTTTGCACCAAAGCCAGGCAACACTCCGCAAGCTTACTTTGCATCTTCAGGCACTATTATTATTAGGCTGTTTACAACTATAGTAAAGCAACTCAGTCATGAGTGGGCTTAAGAGAATGTGTTCTCAGGCCTGTCTTAGCCCCAGAGTTTGCATGGAGGACACAACTGGGGTTAGAACTGGAATTTTTAGCAAGATGTTGTTCCCAACACAGACAGTCATGGCTGCTCCTCTTCCTTCATGACTGAACTATGCTGGGGAAGAACTTTTATTTTGTCACAGCAGAGACTGGGGGTCTGGAGTTCTTTCACTGTGGGATTCTGTGGCTTTTTTGGACCTTGCAGCCTGGGAAGAGACGCAGTTGATAATCTCCTCTTTTTGATTCTTTCTTTGCTGCCCCAAAAGATGTGCTTTCACAGCTGGTTCTCCATGGACAATCTCAAGGAGGTGAGGTACAGATAATTTTTACCTTTACACCACTAGCTGATGTCAATTATATATTCCCCTCCCCAGCCTCCACCCTTCACTGGATTCAATTCCTAGCCAAATGACATCCACTTAAAAAAGCTACAGCCTCTCACTGTTCCTCTCTTCTTTGTCTCTTTTGCTTTCCACCTCAGCCAAGTCGGCCATCTAAATACTGTTAGACAAAAGCAGGTAAATCTTTTTCTTCCGTCGGTCCCAGACAACATCCACTTGCAGATCCCATTCCACAGCCCTGGGCTTCACCGGCTACACCATTCAGATGTAGAGCAGGTGCCAGCCAGGGAGCCTCACGCTCTAACACTTGCTAATCACTCATGAATGCATCTGCAAGAGCCAGTCTTGGAGAAAAGGAGAGGGTGGACAGGTGGGGGTAAGGGCCAGGCAATGTGGGGATCCCTGTCTCAAGCCCTGACAGATTTGAAAGATGAGCACCCTTTTCCCTAATCCCAGCCTTCCCTGTAATTAGACACGTGCCTCACAGGTGGTTTGCTCTTATGGTGACTTTCTGGGGCTTAAAAAATACAGATGGCACAGAATGGGCACAGTGTGACCTGCCTGAAAAGTATGTGCTAACTTGAACAAGCTTGGTTAGTGGGATGCATTAGCAGTACTTGCAGACCTCCACAAGTATAATTACAGTCATCCACTTGGCACATAGTCCTCATTAGTTGTGTTCTGGTATGTATTAACAATAGTGAGATGAGTGGGATCAGCCTCAGATGAGAGATGTGGAAGAAAACAGGTGCCACGATACACAGTGAACGCGAGAGAACCTTCAACACACGTGGAGTCCAGCTACTGCTTCAGTGCCCCACTCAAACAGAAGGCTCTGGTAGCAACGGATTTTGCAGACTTTTCCCACTGGCTGGATTGTAGGAAACTGTGCCCATGAGAATGGGGAAGACGAGCAAAGAAGTCTCGGGGAAAAAAAAAAAAAGAGCTTCTGTCTCATTTCAAAGTTCATAAGCAGTGTGTATTTGGGGAGCAAGAGGAAAACTGACTGAGACAGAGCATCCTTTCAGAGGAGAGTGGGGGAGGTGACTCATGTTTTGAGGCTACATGGGGCCTTTGTACACTGAGAACCACAGGACTTGCTGTTCCCCTCTGGTGGTGGAAACGGCAGAAAGCATTTAAACACGGTCACGCCTCTGCTGATTGCTTTTAATAAAAGGACATCTAACTGAGCCTGTAGGAACAACCACACTGGCTAAAGGGAAGAGGGGAGAATTCGAGCAGAGAGGATGTTTAGAAGGGTTTTGTTCAATACACACATTCTCTCTTGTGTTCCCCAGGACACGACCCTGCTGCTTTGCAACAACCTCTGCCCAGCCCTGGCTCCAACCTGTGCTGCTCACAAGTCTTCCCTTGAGCACAATATTCCATGTTCCAGGTGATGGGCACTAGTAGGCAATGCTTCTTGAGATGAGTCCTTACATTTATAGTACTCCGGCATCAAGTGCGTGGCAGGCATGGATAAAGGATTGCTAAAGAAGAGACCTGTTAAACCCTAGAAATTTGGGTTGGCTCACTAGCCTGTTTCCCACCTGTTTTAGAGTCTCAGTTTTCCTGCCTTTTCAGGGAGTCACTTGGTTTTGTGCCATGGCTCCTCTGTCCCAGTCTGCCTCTCCACTGATAACAAAGGGCCACATCATCCAACAATTCTCGGGTGATTGAGAAACTGGGTTGTTAATGGGAGGGAGAAGCTTTGTCCTTTTCTCGACCTGCTCCCCTAAAGAGCCAAGAGAAAGGAAAACTGTATTTTAATATGAATAAGGGTCTAATTTTTGTTATTCTTTCTTGACCCCCTTCCTTCCACAAACATGGCATCTTGGGTCCAGACTGTGAGCTGTGACGACGCTACAGGGGGCAGCCTGTCCGGAGCCGAGTGCTGGGCGAGTACTGAGGGCTGCAGGGCAAGAGTTGTTCTCATATGTCTAGCTTAAGAAGTGTTCCATTTTAGGGTGAAAAAATAAAATAAAATCAAAGGTGCCTGCTTGGGAGAAAAGACAGACAAGCTTAACAGAATACAAGGGAGGGATTTCAACCTGCTTTCCTCAGCCACGCACAACCTCGACAGAGGATGATGGCTCCCAGCAAAACAAACCTCTGAGGGGCAATGGGGCTCAGGCCATGGTTCCCTGTTCATTAATACCAAGCCTGCACCTTGCCACCTCACTGAACGCCACGCACATGAGCTGAATGACACAGCGACACTCAGTGACACTTCACGGTATTCACCAAAACACAGATGACCCAGGTTTGAGCTAGCTACAGGAGGACAGAAGAGCACCTAAAATAAACATAAAATTCGAGACAACCCCTACCACTATAACATTAACATGCTGATTAGAATGAGTTTGGCAATGCTCTGAGGTAAGAAGCCGTAGTATTTTTGGCCCAGTGGTATGAGCTCCAGAGCTGGATTTACAGTATCAGTCAGCTGCTACTTCCCCAGCTGCAGTTTAGGTAAACTGGTGTGTTTGCATCACTTCAGTTCAAGACTGAGCTCCAGCCCTCTGAAGGTAGTGACCCTACTGACACTAATGGGGGATCCCTTGCAGGGGGAACTTGCTGGATGAAAATATCTTCCAGCCACAGTCACATCTCACCTGTGCTTAGGCTGAGAGGCCAAGACTGCTTTTAGACCTGAACTGATCTCTCTGCTGTTGAAGGACTATAGAAAAGGCTTATTTGGGCATGCTTCAGCCCAATGAGTGGATACATTCACTTCCCTATAGTTAATGAGCCAATTTAGGCTTACTCTCCTGACTAATCTAGACTGCCCACACAATTAGGCACATAATGAATTCAGAACTGCAAAAGGGGAGATGGCCACAGCATGAAGGGAGAGTGGAATGCAACCTTGGGCCAAAACCCCAAATTGTTGCTGCTATTTGGCCCTGTTGAGAAGAACAGGACTAGACTAGATCTAAACTGTGTTGCTGTTCCAGCTGAAAACAGCTCCAAAAGAAACACGAGTGGATACTTGCATCTGCCCTATGAGTCATTCCCAACAGGTATTTTTTAAAAACATGTCAGCTCTAGACATTCATGGGCAGTATATCCAGTTCGCAGGCTGATGGTGCCACAGGGCAGATATCCCAGGCCTAGCAGCCCTGGGGAGCCTCTCAAATGTCCACATCTTGCTTCCCATAGCATCCTCTGTGCCTGTATGACATCTGGATCTACCTTCCCAAGATGTTTTTATGTGTATCGTTTCTTTGGGGGGAGGGAGGGAATAACTGGATTTCATTTCCTGAATAAATTCTGACTTTAGATAGTATGGATTTATGCACTCACACAAGTCTTGTTTCTCTCACAAAGACAAAAAATATGTTTGGTGACCTGATTAGAGGTATGGTTGGGGAGAAGGAGCAAATTATCCTCACTGGAAGGAAATATATGTAAAAGAAAAGAAATGTGGTGGTTAAAGCATAAAAACAAAGGGAATGGAAGACAACTGGGATGAGAAAATCAAAAGATGAACAAAGAAAAAAAAAAAAAAGAAAAATGAGAGGGGAAATTAAATCGGTTCCATGCACACTACAAAGCAGGTCTGTTTCTGGGAGGGAATCTGATCTGTAGGTGAAAGCTGATCCGTATACGAAAATTGCAAACTATGAGCAGTTCTGCTGCGTTTCCAAACACACGCAGACACACAATTCCCCGAGGGAGGATTTGCTGGCGGAGGCGGTGTTACTCCGGCTGTAAAATGCTAATCCCTCTGTCGCCCGCGTCCCCCGCGGGTCTCCAGCCGGCTGCCCTTGTCTATAGTACCGTATCAGTACCCAAAATTATTTCTCCTGGTGGGCGCTGCAGAGGTGGACACGGGGCGCCCCTTGGGCTGTCATTGCCGAGAGACAACCAAACGCAAGGGCTTTGGTTTTTAGCCGCAGCTCCCCCCCACACCCGGGCCCCCACCCTGGGTTTTTCTCTGTCTTTGCAACGGACTGTTTTTGGCTAACGCGGAGAGTCCCCGTGGGGAACACGCGTGTCCCGGGGGAGCCTTTTCTGCAGGGGACCGTGGGGGCCGGCGACCACAACGGGCAGCGCGGTCACTTCGTGTCCGTGAGGGAGTCCCTTTCCGTGAGGACGGCGACAAGCAAGCGACCTGGCCCAAATCCCACAGCCAGGGGCTGCGGGGACAAGGGGAGCCCCCCCCTCGGCTGGCACTGCTGGCTTGGGGGCCAGAAGCGAGCTCTGGCTCTGTATTTCAACCCTCTCCCCCGATTATAGTCACTTTCCCCCGCGTTCCCTAATCGTCTCTCCGTCTGGATCCTGTCCGGATTCTAACCGAAAAAGAAATCACCGTTAATTAGGAGGTGATCAAAGGTGGGCCCTGCGAGGACCCCTCCAGGCAAGCAGCACCTCAGCGTTAAGGTGCGGGCGGTGGGCTCAGGGCACCAGCTGGGGCTCGTTTTTCATGATGAGTCAGGAGGGGAGGAGAAGATATATGGAAGTCAAGGGAGGCCCCTCTCTGTCACCTCCAAAAGATTTTTTAACAGTGCAACACATTGGGAGCTACTCCCCTACTTTTATATACAGGTAGGTGCCTGTGTCCTGTTTCCTTGCGCTGGGGGAGGTGGGGAATTTGCTTGATGTGTCACATGCCCTTATTCATACATCTTCCAGGTGATTTTGCAGGTTTTGTAACTCCCGGGCTGTGACATTCTCCCAATAATCTTTTACTGTCCTTAAAGGAAGCGGTAAGGGGAGGGGTGGGGGTTTTATCTTCCCCAAGCAGACCGTAGACCCTGGCTTCAAACACTTAAGATCTGTAAGGCTCTTTTATAGCTGCACTACTCTCGTTTCCTTTGGGATCTGACTGGGTGATTCCCACCTCTCCCCAGTGTGTAGCAAAAATAAACTTTTTTTTTTAAGCTACCACTTCTTTCTTAAGCATAAAAAAAAGTAAAATAATAAAAAAGTGCCTAATGGTTAAGGAAAGAAGCTAGAAAAAGATGAAGTGCCATTTTTCTGTGCCCCTGCAAAACAGGCCTGCCTGTCTCGGCCTTGGGCTAGCCGCTGGAGAAGCCGCTTGCCTTTCTTTGAGCCCTCTTCCCTGCAATACAGACACCGCTCTGTAGCGGCGACCCCCCCTGCCCCCAGTCTGTGTTCACTTGCGGGGGAGGCGGAGGGCTTATCTGTTTGCGATGATGGCTGCGATCTGCAATGCAGACACGCAGAATCTCCGCATGCCCCGGGGCAGGCTCTGGGTACCCCTCCATTCTTTGCTTTTGGGTGGGGACCGGTAAGGAGGCGGAGGTGGGGAGAAGGAGTGTTAAATGTGGGGGTGGGTTGTCTGCCAAGCCCCGACCAACTCACCAGGCGACTCTGCTCGGGCCTTCTGGCCCTGAGGGGGAAACACG